TATATGTATATATGTATATATGAATATGTATATATGTATATATGTATATATGTGTATATGTGTATATGTATAATGCACATGTGTATACACATGTGGAAGGTGAGCAACGCTACGTGGGAGATGCCAGACGCCTCGGCAATGGCAAAGGCATCGCGCCAAGATGCAAAGTCAGACCCCAAAGTTGCAACAGTTTGTCCAGCTCCTTCCGGGTGCTGGAAGCTTGTGTGATGGTTGTCACACCGAGTGTTCAGTGCCTTGCTGGAATATCTGATGATGAGGATCGATCTGTAGGAGCATTTAGGGTTGCAGAACAACGCTGAACCTGTTGTCAGATACACCTAACATTTTGGGAGCCAGAAATTCTTCTGACTCGTGCCAGACCTGAGCACGAGGAAGCAACGCTTTGCAGCACTGGCGGGCGAACGGGTGCGATCGTGTAGCGAGTTGTTTCCACTGTTGGGCATCGTCAGTCATTGGCCGAGAACACTTTCAGAAGGTCGGAGCTGTCTCAAGTGGGCGAAAGTCCAACTAACCAAAGACAATCCAACCGAACGTGCCCCGCTGAAAGTTTGCGCGTGGCCGAGTAAAAGTGTCTGTCCAATGTTCCAACATCCTTGCGCCGTGATTCACAATGCCGTGGTCGAACAGGTCTGGAGTGCCATCGAAAAAGCATCTTGGCAAGAGGTACTAGCACTCGAGCTATACGGCGTTGCAAGGGTTTTGACGCACTGGCAGCAGGGTGATTACTAGCAGCGTCGAGAATTCTGTGTGTCAACCATTTGCCAGCGCCAGCACAGAATTTGCAGACTGGACAGCATGAGCATCTCCATCACAATGAGATTTTCGGCTTTTCTTTTTGCGAGAATTTCCGTGTCTTTTTGCCGCGTGTCGATCCCCAAAGCACTCCTGAACTCCAAACAGCCCGTGTGTCCCCGAAAGCGGATGCCTTTAGGAACGGCTTTTGCTTTGATCCCAAAGTTCAATGCCCAAAGCAACCCTCTGGATCCAAGTTGCTCGGCGCCTTCGCTTCCTTGAAGGGGAAAGGCAAGGGCAAGCTCAAGGGCAAGGGCAACAAAGCCAAGCCAGCACCTGGGCCCAGCATATTCATGGCAAGCCCGGGCTATGTTGGCGGTCCTTGGTTCGAGAGGCGGTTGTGATTTTGGTGTCTGGTAGCGCGTTCTTGCTTGATGGGGACATGGGGCTCAGGTTCCATGAAGGAATTTTACGATTCAAATCACGAGTTTGCGGTACCAGTCTGGAGATGTGGCCAATGCATTTTAGTAGCAACGCGTTATGAGCAGCTCAAGCCTGGAAGCTTAGCAGAGGTTCAAATCTGTAAGCAGTGTAGTAGGGATGGTCCCGCAAGTCATGGCGAGAATGCTGCTGCAATTGTGCGGTGTGCCCGGACAACAAGCATGCAACACCTGCAGCACGGCATGTCGTGGCCAATTGGGATCCAGACGAAACCTTCAAGCGCAAATCCCATGCGCGCAGATAGCATCACAGGGCAGGTCCAGCGCAGCCCGAACCGCAATCTTTTCGCAAGAGAGTGTATGGCATTGTCCGTCTGCAAATCCAATCCTTACAAGCTAGGTATGGACGCCCCCCCCAAGGAATTTAATTGTGGCCATCCAATAGAAGGGGCAGTAGTCTCACACACAAGCTAGTGCATTTACCTTCCGCCCAAACACTGATCTTGTGATCTTCATAAGCAGACCTTATCCATGACCTTTCCGCTCCTGCGTAGCAAAATATCCCGGAGCATTTCAGGATGCACCGACGGCAATGATCGCTTCGCCAGACAGGCCACTGCCACGCCGACGGTGGCATGCATGTGCTTCTGGAAAACATGTTAGGGAGTCACACGTGCAAATACGCAGGATCCCATGCGGCCAGCAATAACAACCCTTGAAGCCTTGGTATTCTTCTTTGTGACAGGCAGCTTCTTCCTCCGCCGGCGTTGACGGCCCAGCTGGGGCTAACACCTCAACCTCACAAGCTAGTGCATTTGGAAAATGTGTTAGGGAGTCGAACGTGCGACTACGCAGGATCCCACGCAGTTGTGGGTAGTGTTGCGAAAATTGAAGCCCTAAACAAACAAAGCATTGAGTTCGCGTGCGGCCAGCAATAGCAACCCTTGACCCTTGAAGCCTTTTGGCTTGCAGCCCTGGTATTCTCCTGTATGAGTCTCACCTCATCCCCGAGGTTGAGGTGTCAACCCAAGCTGGGCCGTCAATGCCGGCGGAGGAAGAAGCTGCCTGTCACAAAGGTGTATCCAGACTTATCACCGGACCCTAAACCCCAAACCCTGTGCGCTAGTTGCATTTGGGATGCGTGGGACTGCCTTGGTTGCGTTTGGGGTGAATTTTGGGTGAATTCCTGCATGTTTTCGGTGTTTTGGGTCTTCTTGTCTTTCATGATTTTCCTTGAGACCATCCTGCGCACATTGAGTTCCGTTCCGGGGCGAGGATCGTGTATGTCATGGGCGAAGGTTAGGGAAGTACTCTCGACACGCCATTCTTTTCTAAGCAGGTGGCCCTCATCACCCCTAAAAATTGTGCGGCTAAAAGATATTCCTGTGCTAGACGGAAACAATAGTAACTGCCCACAAGCAAATTATTGTCTCGGACGTTATGCTTCAGCCAAGGCTTGAGACGGATGATGCAGTGAGCAGTGGGTGAGGCGGATGGTGGTTCGTCGCCCCTGTCCCACTGCTGAATTTAGAATCCCATATCTCAGACTTGGGTTCTTTTTCCCAAGAAGCTGGGTTTTTTTTGACAAGGGGACCCCTGATTTTGAAATGCCCTGCATTTAGATCGGGGAGCTCGCGCTCGGCAAGGTGATGGCTGAATCCACTGAGAATCCACGGCTAAGCAAGGAAAGTCTTTGCTGATCAGGGATCGATTGCAACGCTTCATCACCGTGACGGAGGAGCTCTGTTGCCTCAGAAATTGTGATCTGGTTCTGACGCGGGGTACTGCTGAAAATTTAAGTGAAGCAGTGGTCGCTAATGTCACAACTGTAGTTGCTGGATTGCCGAAGGATTTGGAATCGTCATCGCATGACTTGTGTTTACAGTGCGAACAGTTTCATCCTGACTTCACACGGCTAGCGTTGCAAGTGGGATCCTTTTTACCAGGCGCCAAACGATGTGTTGACATGCCAGCCCGGCACGTCTGCTTTGTGAAGGCCTGTGCAGGCTAGTCGTCGATTTTACCGACACTCTGGCTAGGTGAGTGCGGCTGAAAACAACACAATGGATGTCAACAATCGCTGCCTTGTTGGTTTTGAAAGTTGCTCCGGCGTGAAGCATGCTGAATGTTGAGCTCCCTGGTCTTAAACAGCCAAGACGGCAGCCCGAAAACCTTAAACCCTAATCCACAAAACCCAGCCTCACTTACCCAAGAAAGCTTTCAAGCTCCCTTACAAGCCCTAAACCTTTACCCGATTAACTGTAACCCAACCTCAAAACCTTGGTTCCTAACCCCAAACACCCTGCCTACATGCTATACACGAAAACCAAGCTGCAAAGCCTAAGCAACCTAACCCCAGAACCCACAGGCCCAAAAACCCCAAATGCCTCAAAAGCCCGAGACGCATAACCCAGAAACCCTACCCCTATCTTCAACCCAAATAACCCCAAAACCCCCTCAACGTGAACTATCTCGAACCCCCAACTCACCCTAAAATTCAGAATCCCTATACATCTAAACGCGAACCACGACAGAATAAAACGAAAGCCATACAAACCCCAAGCCTTGCTGCTAAAAGCCCCTAAGCTTGCCCCTCAAGACCCTAAACCCAACCTAACAATCCGAACCAAAGCCTGAGACCAGAAACTCTCAACCCAAGTCTTTATTTCTTGCTTTTTTCGGGCACAATGATGTCGTGCAGCTCTTGATATCCAACACGTCCAAATTAACCAGCAGCGCTCTGCTCAACCGACCTGTGCACTCTGCAACTGCTGGGAACAACGGAGATGCCGCCCGAATGCCAATTTTCCATAATTTTCCCATGTGTTGGAAAGTAGCGTTGACCTGCTATTGAGAACCAGGTGCCTAAACTTGGATCATGCCATTCTGCTGCCATGTGCTCAGCAACTATTTGTACTTTATATCAGCCACGAGAAGGCAGGACGCTGTGAAGGTACTCGCCAGTTCATGCACACTTGTTTCGCGCATGAGATTTCTTTTATTCATGTTGTTCATTCTGTAGATGAGTCATACATAGCCAGGAACAGCTGACAGCCATTGCAATTGCAACAGGGGCAGTAAGCGACGTTTGGAAGATCCCTTGCAGCCGAGCGCCACGTGCTGGCCAGCCTGAGCTGTGGTCATCTCGGATGCTGGGAGACCCCGGCAAGTGCCTCAGAGATGCTCGGTACAGTGAACAAAGCGGATGCGATTGAGCCTGTCCTGAAACGAGGATGTCGGTGAACGTCCAAGATGGCAGCGCGGAGTCTGGGGCGGACGCTGGTGGGAGCTGTGCCAAGGCTGAGCTTTCTTCGCATTTTGCAAAAGCCTGGTTTGTGATCGTGATTTGACACATCCAGACCTCCTGACTTGCCAGGTCTTTTCTTGCCACCACACCTCCTGGTCCGTGCACTCATCAGTGCCTTTGGAGTTACTGGCAGCTCTTCTGCACTTTACGACTTACAAAGAAGGCAAGCTGTGCCCGCGGATTGCTTCTTGTGAGCAAGGAGATTCCGTCAACAAAGCCTGGCGCCCACAGCATTGCGTAGCAGCATGAGACCACAGTTTTCTAGTGATTCCCCCCAGGAACCACACTGCCACGCCAGTGGGCAGCGAGGCATGGAGAAAAATGGTTTGAGGCAATGCGAGGGCAATGGGTGGCACAAGGTCTACGTGTTCGGAGGCTATGACGGCCAGAAGAACCACAATGAGTGGCTCTGGGAGCACTTGCAAACCCAACAGACTCTGGATGGCCCGCGCTCACGCTAAGGCTCTATGTCTTCGATCTTCGATCCATGGAGCCCGGCACCCAAAAGTTCAGCGGACAGCATTTCTTCCCAGCAAGTTTTGGCAAGGTGGAGACAGCCTTCGGTTGGTGGGCAGAAGCCCAGTGGCAGGACTTTCTTAAGTGAGTCTTCGAACGCTTATGTCGAATCCATGTTGGATGGAAGCAGTGCTGGCAAGGAACGGCCACTCCGCGACTTTGTTGGCGGGAGGGGCTCAGATCCTGATCCTTGGCGGCTGGTTGGGCAATGGTCCGCTCGCGGCAGGCATGGAGGGATTTCAAGATGCTTTGCTACTGTGACTTGCTGAAATCAGTCTTCAGCATGATCCTTGATGCGCTGAGCACACACTGTGAGACCAAGAATTTGAATGATCTGCAGGTGACATGCACCTGCTGAATCTTGACCCATTGAAGTGGGCAACAGCCTCAGGGTCTGAATGGCCTGAATCGTAGCTGTGTGAGGCAGTGCTTTCTCAAAAAGAAGCCGCCAGGTGCCGCCCCGTTTTACTGGGGAGCCGCACGGGGCCTCAGTTCGAGTAGGGAGACCTTTTAGGAACAAATACCGAATCAGGAACTAC